CCCCCGCATGATAGCATGAGGACCAGCCAGACGAACAGACCTCTCATCCCAGATTTTTCCCTGCAGGCACATCAGATTTTGGTGATTGCCTGGGTGTAGGGACTGACTGGAAATGGAATGCAACACGCAGTCTGATGTGGAGTTTTAAAGTATACAGTCGAACCTGCGTAAGACGGAATCGCAAGGGAGCCAGAAAAAAATTCTGTCTTAGACAGGGGACAGATCGGTTAGCAGTAGTTAAGACTTCACACCTCTCCATTGCTATGACATGCATCAGTCTTACTTATCCAATTACCACCAGTGCTTGCCTTTCATAGGACCACTGTTTGACCTATTAAAAACAGAAACGTTTGAACAACTCCTTTGCTTCCACCCTAAGCCCCACCCATCGGTGTAACAAGCACAGTCAACCAATGCCACCCCTCACTGCCATCACGTAACAACGATTCGAGGAACGTTTTTCTCGGCTGGCATTGGTCAGTCTATTTCACACCTCTGGCTTCTGGCTACCCAAGAAAGTTTCCGTAGTGGCTCGGTACTCGAGCACTCTCACAGGCAGTCGTGAGATTTCACACCCTCACTACCCTGACCATCTGCAGAGCTCAGGGTTCACATGATGGGGTATAAGGTAACATCTACCCCCAAATTGCACCCCTACTCCCCTTCCTTGCCCAGCGGTATGGCCGTGGTGTTAAGTTTAGAGCCGGCGGAACCAAACTTATACGAGTTTTGTTTCAAATCAGTGCTGAGCTGGTAAAGCATTTTCCGTCTTAGACAGGTGAAACCCTCGGAAGGGAGCGGATTTTTCTTTCCGTTTCCGCGTTGGACAGGTTTCCGTTTTATACAGGTAATTAAAGAGGAAAAAATCAACGGGGGGAGCGGGAAGATTCCTTTAAGACAGGTTTCCGTTTTATACAGGTTTCCGTTAAGGCAGGTTCGACTGTATATTCATGCATGCAATAGTTGGCAAGTAAAGGGATTCATCTTGTCAAAACCACTTTTTTTTTAGTGTGAAGTCAAAGTACCAAAATTTTACACTGACCAGGGAATTCCAAGATGTGCACTGACAATATTTGTTTTAGTGAAGAGCGTTTCAAAGCAATTTGTGCTGCAGAAAATGACAGACATCACGAATTCAACAATTCCTTTTTTGTTTCATATTTATGCCTCTAGAGCAATGTAAATTACAATTAAAAAGAAGTTAACTTCCTATGATTGTTCAAATATTTTCTTCTTACACTCATAACTATGATGACAAAAAATGTCATGATAATAGTTATGAACAGAAGAAATTTTTACTCTTATTTAACATAATTCTCAAAAAAATTACTGTCTTCATAATCTTAATATATATGTCAATTTTCAACTTAATATAGACAGAAATTTTATACGAATTGCTATCACAACAGTGGTGCTTCAAAAGAGGACTCATGTTTTGTTTCTATTGATGACATGTTATATCAAATATATATCACAAAATCAGGAGGGAATTTACTCTTTCTTTTTTAAAGGCTTGATACTAGCGTAAAAAGTAGTAGAGATACCAACTTTAAACAATGGGATTGTTCGAATTTTATCACTAGCAGAGATTTCCTGTCATAAAAGACGCACATCAGAATCCCAAAGCGACCATCTATAATCTAAATTTCTTACAATTTATTTTACTTGCTGTAATTGCACATGATTGTATTATTAATGAAAATAACACCAATTACCTACATATTCAAGGTATTGAAACGAAAATTAAAAAGTAGTTTTTAATTTTGGACCTCTGTGACATGTTTAGGAGTACCAGGTCCTACCACAGGCTCTTTTATCGCTTCCGGTGTGTTGATCATTCATATGTACCTACATTTATCCGTTTTTTGCTCCTCCTCAAAAATTAACCAAAACCTTGAAACGTGAAACTGGCTCTTATAGGACGATGTATATATTCATGACAAAGTATCGGGCGATGAAAAATTTGCGTGGCCATCTTACAATGTGCTTTGGTTGTTAGTGGATAAAATTGTGGCCATGGTCGCATTGCGACAGGTTATCATCTTACACCGTGCTATTATTATAGGAAAAACGCAAGGGGGAAAAGGAAAGTGACCGTTCCTACAGGTGGCTGTCAATACAAGTTCGACAGTCTTTTCAGTTTGAATGTCAGTGTGCATAAAATGTGTGTGTGTGTGTGTGTGTGTGTGTGTGTGCAGAGGCCCATGTGTGAGAACATATTGTGTGAATGACAAAATTGTCTTTGTGTGATGACAAAAAATATTAATTAATAATTTTGACTTCGTATGGCATTGCTTGCACAAAATAAACATGATACTATTGAGTTGTAAACAATTTCAGAAAGAACAGAACCAGAAACCTTGTTATATCTCCTAAATTTAGAAAAACAATTTCAAGAACCATTCTAACATTTAAAAGCCTTCCTATATAATTAGAAATCATAATAATAATAAATTTGGTCTCGGTTCACCATAAATTATAAACCAAAACTTCAGGATGGTATGGCACAGCCAACCACACCACATTTTAATATCATCATGAGAGTTTTTGTTGTTGTTTTGGTAGGTGTTTTACGGCGCTCACAACTGCATGAGCACGCGGGACACATATTTAACATTTTCAGTAGGTAGGAAATTTTTTATTTTGTCCGGGTGGCAGCTGCAGCTTGAACTCTTATCGATTTTAGACCAACAAGGGATATTTAACGTGCAGAACTTGCAGACGGGACCTCCATATTTTTACCTCCTTGTCCAAGAAGGCTAGATGTTGAACTTTCCTACCAGAAGATCAGGGGTGCGGCCGAAAGACAGAGCACTATTTAGCAGTAAGAAGGAGCCACCATGGCAAGGAGTAGCAGGCTGCAGTGGAAAGGCTTGCAGAAAGAGTCAGAAGCCCAAAGGAGGGGGCAAAGGAGTTGAGAGGGTGGGGGCAGAAAGTGGAGACGACAGAACACTGCTAGAGAGCAGGAAAGGAGGTGAAAAGAGACAATTGTCCTTCTCGGACAAGGGCGAAAAATCTCGGAGGGCCAGTGTGCAAGTTGCTAACATTAAAGATCCTTTTTATTACAATCCCTTAGTGGACTGAACTCGATAAAAGTAGGTTTCCGCTGCCACTCAGGCAAAATTCAGAATTTCCTACCAACTGAAAATGTTTTTAATGTGTCCCGGGCGCTTATATATATGACCATGCATTTACGAGCGCCATAAAACCCTTACAAAAACAAAAAAACAACTCAATCCCAAACCCTCTATTGTACTCAGTTTCATAGTCATCGCTCGTTATAGAATTCCAGCCCAACTTTTTAAAATTTTCTCTATTGAGGAAAGTTGACATTCTTTGCATCATGCATTTTTCATTATATTCTCTACACAAGGTGGCGTAAAATTAGTTAACGAAGTGGTTATTCGGACTCGAGTCCGAACAGCCGCTGGAGGCCATTCGGACTCAAATTCCAGTGCGTGTGCGCAATCACCAGTTGTACCGTACATTTTGGTCTCCGGCGAGGTCTAGACTCGAGTCCGAAAGTCTCCAGTTGCTATTTGGACTTTAAACCACTGGTAGGCTATTACACAGAGTTTCGTGACAACAAATGGATCAAAACATAAAATTCATATAATCAGTCCTTATAAGACGGCCCACACCCCCTCCCCTTTCTGTTTTCTCTCTCTCTCTCTCTCTCTCTCTCTCTCTCTCTCTCTCTCTCTCTCTCTATCTCTCTCTCCTCTCTCTCTCTCCTCTCTCCTCTCACTCTCTTCTCTCCTCTCTCTTACTTTTTTCCTCTCTCTCTTTCTCTTACTTAAATTTTCCTCTCTCCATCTTACTTCCCTAGGCCTGCCCCAACACCTCCATCCCTTTTTTTAGACATTTATATATATATTCCCTCCCATACCGTTGCCCACTGCCCGGCCCTACTATTATATTTTATCCTTTGTAAAAAGAAAAGACCACAGTTCGCGCTGGGTCTCCATGGTCAGAGTCCATTTGTTGTAAAAGTTCCTTTTCCAGATCGTAGAAACCGAGGAAGGCCGAATTGCTTGTCTGCTTCACAATATATGCGGTACACCTCGAAGTGATTGCGCATGCATGCGAATTTGAGTTTGAGCCCGCATAGCCACGGAAGGCTATTCGGACTCGAGTTCAGACTTGAGTCCGAATAGCCGCGGGAGGCTGTTCGGACTCGAGTCCGAATAGCCGCGGCCATTAGTTAATGTATGTGTATAGTATTTAGATTTTACGGTGCTCGCAACTGCTAAGGCCATTAGTTAAGACTCTAAGACTCTAAACTTAAATTTATCTTAATCTTACCTCTGTCAGTTCTGCCGACACAACCCAGATAACATCAACGATCAACAGCACAACTATGCCGATCATCATACGATGTGCCCGATTTAAGCTTCCCAACTTCAGCATGTTGAATATTTGATGATTTTTTGCGCTCTCAGAAATTTCTAGAATTACAAATTAGCCTATAAAATCAATTCAGCTTTACTCTGATAGAAAACTGCAAAAATAGAACAGGATTACATCTCATTTTTTTTCTTTTTTGGTCTTCTTCGCAACCAATTAGATCTAGATTTCTAGATCTAGATTTAGTCCACCTTTCCTCCAAGCCAGGCTATATCAGTATCAGTCTAACTCCAGTAGGCGTAGGCCTACTTTTTGAATCCTGAAGACCAGCACAGAGAAACCAGTTCTACGTGAAATACAATCCATCACAACTCCTGTTCACAAAGTAGAAGGCCTGCCAAAGGCTAACCTAGAAGTCTAAAACTTTAGTTAAAGGCAGGAAGGAATAATCCTGAAAAACTGATAAGATCTAAGAAGACACAGTGACACAGTCACAAGACCAAGATTTTCCAGACAGCCGGGGCCCAGGCTAGAACTAGAATCGAGAATCAGGCCAAGTTACTGCACTTGATACTTGATGTAACGAATCACTTGAGCCTCTTTTATTTCCGTCTTGTCATCCTAACCTCCTCTCAGACGCCCCAGCCTCAGCCAAGTACTTGTAGATCTAGATCTAGTATTAATCAAGTCCAAAGTCACTGCCATCAACCTAGGCCTATAGTGCTGCTGCTGTCGCTGTTGATTGTTGATTTTTAAAAAGCCAGCAGTCGACGCAATCACTGGTCGCAAAAACAAACTTGGAACAAGAGGAGGAACCTATCAATCAGAAACTGTCATATTAGAGCCGAGAGAAAAAGTTAAAAATACACACAAGATCAATGCATCAATATCAATATTCGCTTTAACTCTGATCTGACGTTATCCCATTCATGGGAAAAATATCCTTGTGTGTGGACCTATGTTGCAGTCTATCGTCATCGACCTGAGAAGACACGGAGATAGGAAGAGAGAGGGAAGTTGAGGGAAGGAAATGTGACTTCTTCTAAACGCTCAACTCAAAAGAGTTGCCGTTCCGCCTCGAAAAGTCGAGTACAAAAAAACGAGTACATATATTATAAGTCCATTGCCATTACTTTACCAATATACACCTGAACATGTCTCAGATTTTTTTTAGAACTAAAAATAAAGAAAATTCGAGTCTGATTTATTTATAGCCTATTATTATTATGTTCTCACACACGTACATTATTACAGTACAATCGCTGTATAAAGGTTTTCTTTCTGACCTAAGATTTTGAACGTGTCTTAGCCAAGGCAAGTACCATACTCGGTACATGTATTAGATCTAGTCAAAAAGAGTAAAAATACTGAGACTCGGGACTTCAAAAAGTGAATTTTACTGCCGATGGTAACAGTAGTAGCCTACGTTTTAAGCCGTGTACATTACATGTACAGACTAGGCCTAGCTGCTACCGAGGTTTACACTGTATGTTATTTTAACAGTGAAATGAGCTTTAACCATAGATGTGCTCTATAGTTTAAAAGGAGATAACTCTATGGCTTTAACTTTAACTTAAACACCGATATCTGCAGGACCACTGAATTTTCATCGGTTTAAATTTAAACAAGTTCTTGGTTTAGACAGATTGCTCAAACAGAGTGTAAAATAAATCAGGGATTTTACTTTCTTTCGGCTTACCCAACTGGGTTTACCGCTGTTTTCGGATTAACCGTGTTCGCTCTAACTCTCGAGCGGACTCGGCTATATATATTATAGATTTTTTTTTTTTTTATTAGTCACACATTATGTGGATTGTTGGCATGGTGCTGTGCTGTGGTTTGTTCCTTCTTTCCTATTAGTTTCCTATCAAGCAACCATCGTCCTTTTCTCTCCTCCTTCTTTGTGGACGGTAGCATTATTGTGAGGGAACTATACTTCGTACATGTATTCCACTGGCCCCGCGGAAAATTGCATTTTTTAAATAGAAAAATTGCAAAATATTGCAAGGTAAACCGCCTAAAAATTGCAAAAAATTGCAACCTTCCCATCCCAGGCGCATTAATACGGGCTTAACATTTTTAGTTTAAAAAACATGACAATTTTGAGTACCTGTAGCATAAAAGCAGCTCAGCCTTTTAAAAAATCATGACAAACAATACAAATTCATCAAATGTTATTAACAACATTTACTAGTAACAACACACAAGTACGTTAACAATAAAGTTATCGACCAAATATAAATGATAACGCGTGACACAAAATAACGGATCCCTCGGTTTTCGTAATAACTTTAAAATGAAGGCATAAAATTTGACCAAATTTAGTACATACTGGGTACTTCATGCAAAAATCTAGAAGTATGAGGTTTAGTCTATAAAAAACAAAAAAATTGACGAGAGATTTTCGAAACAACCCCTAAATACAAAATAAGCTTATGCTCCAATCAAATCAGATCCTGTTCTATTTTTCTCCTGAAACCTTCGATATGCCAGTAATCTGTATTTAGATCTATTTCAAATATTTTATGTTTTAAAACCGGCATGGTATTGTTTTAACACTAAGTCGAATCGTAAAATACAGCAATTTTTTTTTCCATTTATAAACAATAGTAATACATGTACATGTACTAATGTAGATCTAGATCATTTCTATAGCACCCACTCCCGTGTGAACGCAGCTTGAGGCGTTTTACATAACGGGGTGTTTACATACGCGGTACGCGGACACCAAGCCTCAGTGTCTACGTACACGGTAACCGGCAACCGGGCACGTAGTCTCAGTGTCACGTACACGGTAACCGGGCAGTTAAGAATTCCAAGTTCAGTTTTTGTCATCCGGTGTTGCCTTCAACTCCAGCCCTCCCCTGACAGTACATTTTTTTTAAATCAATCATTCTCCCATTCCGGAGCCCTATACTTCGTAGCGCACAGACTTTGAATGAACTTTGGTGACCTCAACCGGTACTCACAATGTGCTGCGAGAGCACAGGTTCACTGACCGGTAACGATGGCGAGCCCGACAAGACGCGTGTATAACTTTTTTTTCTTTATTTCAACAAGTGACAACACAGGACCAATATTGGTTAATTTTCATTCCGGTGGGTTACCGTGTACGTAGATGTTGAGACTAGGTGCCCGGTTACCGTGTATACAGACACGTGCATCATGTACGAACAATATTCACGCGCGCGCACTCACACGCACACGTACTCACGTACACCTCACACACGCACACACCTACTTTCTTATCACATGCGCACGCTTACACACAGTGGGCCTAGATAAAAGCCTAGCCCAGAGAAGGCCACCTTCTCGGCCGAGCCTATGTCTCAGTTCGTGTTGTACAAGATGCATTCTGGCCTGAATTTCCAGTTATAGTTATAGCTTTTAGAGTACGCTCAGTAGGCTTGAGCTGGGCCGATACCATGATTTACGTAGGCCTATCGGCTCTGTGCTCGCACCATTTCGTATTAAAAATTCTGTTAAATTCAAAGCGTTGTTGGATTTTTGCCTAAAATTGCAAGAAATTGCGAAAATTGCAAAAAATTGCGGATTTCTTGCGGAACTCGACGAAAAACGTGGCCGCAAGTAATCTAGACCTCGATTTCCTGGAGGGCCAGGAAATTCCAGTAGATCACGTCGCTTTTTACCGAATAGCTGGTCTCAAATTGTCTAGGAACATTTCACAGTTCCATGAACCGGGCGCTAACAGTAACCTATAAGCCTACCTTTCAGGACAGGCCTTAGTAAAATTATACCATTTGGTGTCGAAAAAAACCATTTGCATGATCTTCGTTCATCCTTCTATGCGACGGGCTTATTTGTCTCAACGAGAATCATCAAAGTCTCTCCATTTTGCTGTTCGTCCCTTTATCCAAGATCCAAACAATAAACACCCAGGTTTCATCTCCAGTTTAGACGATTCTGTCTTAGAATCTATTTTGGTGTCTCTAGAGTTCAAGGAGCATGTTTTATTGACGAACTCTCTGATCCTTTTGATCCCGAGTGAGAGACTGCGGAACACATTAAAATTTAGAAAATATCCTTTTCTTCAGTTTGTAGTCAGAGTTCGGGGGGGAAAAGTGTGACAATGAAGCTTAATCCACACGCTAATATTAATAATTATCTTCAAAAGTTTTTCGCCAGTCGATTTTCATAACTTTTAAGACGGAATGTTGGCATCGCCTTGAGCTGTCCAGACTGCATCATATCATTCACGATTCCTGTTCCATCTACTCTAAAATGGCTTTCATTTTTATCCTTTATTATACATGAACTGTCTGATCAGAATGACCATAATACATCATCATGTAATACTAGGGCAGTCACAAGGCTGTTTTCTCTTAACTTGAAAAAGGATCTTTCATATTTTGAGCCTCTGTTTTGTCAGCCATGTGCTTAAAGTTTAAGTGGCATCACAAAATGTTGAGTAATTTAGTGTCAGTTCATTATTTTGGTACAATTATTTTATAAGAAAATCGTGAGAGGGTTCTTTAGTTTAGTTTTAGTAGAGGTTTTTCGGCGCTCCAAACTGCATAATGTCATATGAGCGCCAGAAGATTAGAGGTGTTACAAGAGAGTAACAAACATAAAAAAGAAGAAGGGGAATAAGGACGATAGATGTTTCATAGGAAAGAAGAAGCAAACCACACCAGAGCACCCGCCAACCACCCACGCGAAAGGGTTCAAGACTTGTCTAGGTTCAAGTGTTCAAGTGAATACGCCAAGTTTCACTGTTTTTAAGTCCCCATCAACACAATTTAGATTATTTAGGGGGGGGGGGGGGGGGGGTGCGGGCTTCCCAACTTGCCTTTATAAGGGATCTGAAACAGGCATCAACGATAATGGTTCTCCATTTATCATTCCCCTGGATACTCTCAAGAATCCCATATACTGGTGATTCCCCGTCACCCATTTGTTCAGGTCTTCCAAATATGTTCAAAGGCCTTTAAATGTCGAGTCAAGTGACCCGAGAACTACCTTGATCGCTAATTCCCATTGTTCTCATAATGTGAAGGGCCCTCCTGGGCGTCTTACTTTTATCATTTCCTTGTTATTTCTTTTGTCCATGAAATTCTCAACAGTCTCCTGAGAAATCACATTTCTGTTGTTTCTTATGTTCACTGTCTTTGGTATTTTCCGTCAAAAATTATTCTTCTTAAAAGTTAAAGAAAACGCTTAAAATGGATTCCTTACCATGTATCTTCAACCAAAAGAACCCCTCTCTCCATGAATATGCGTAGCATCAAACATGTTTAATAACAGTCATATTCGTCACTTTTACTGAAACTAAAAGTACAAAGCATCATACACAATGTGTTTCCCTGCATACCGAGCTATTATCAACCTGAAACACAATGATTCTATTTAGGCTTTTTTTTTCTGGCTCATTAGCTAAATTCCCCCACCCCGCAAATTGTCAGAACACAATTCCAAGGCCAGAAATTGTCAGAACAAGGTTCAAGGTGTAATTTAGAGCCTTTGAAACGGTTTATTGTTCACATTGTTCCAGACTGGCTTGCCGTCACATGAAATTTTTCATCAGTCATGGTGAGACATGAAGAGTCAACACATACCATGCGGTCGCTGTTGTTAAGCACAAGGGGGCTATCCGAAAAATGTTTTGAGAAAATCGAAGGTAAAGTTTTTGCCCCTTGTTCGGTTTCTTTAAAAGACAAGGAGAATTTTCTCTCTTACCAAACAAATATATACACACTAATGAAACCAAACTTCTCCTCCAATTAGATAAGGCAATGCCCACTTTTGGTGTAGGTCAAGATTTCTGGTTAAGGGCGGGGGGGGGGGGGGGGGGGGGCTACACCTGAAGGCTATCTCGCTTATTACTGGACCGAATTTTACCACATTTCATAAATATTACAAGCACAGTAAGGAGTCTTAAAATCGGCAATCAAATTTGAGAAAAAAATTTCGTTTCCATGGATACGGCGGCCATATTGGATTTTGTTGGCATGTCTTACGTAATGAATACCGCACTTATCGCTAATGGAAATTGATTGTTTTTTCTTTGCACGCGTGTTAACAAACATTTGATCTAAAAATGTATCTGTTGTTTTTTTTTCCGAAACGAATTAGAAAATTTTTAATGAATTTTTTCCTGAGGTAGCATTCAATTTTGCAAACAAATCCGTGAAAATCCACACTCCAGACACCACCAACAAAGATCTATTCTATATATAAAAAATCCAACAGACAAATTTTTAATATTACATCTTCTCTTCATTCTGTGAAAATTTCATGAAGATTGGATGAAAAATGGTGGAGTTATTCAAAAAAGTACAGTGGAAACCATATATAACAGGCCCGGTAATAACAGGAAACCGGTAATAACAGGGATTTTTAAAATCCCCGTTTTTTCCTTCTCTTTGTCTCTATTAAAAGTTATCGGCAATAACAGGGCCTCATCGGAGCCCAACCGGTTATAGCAGGGACAAAGGCTCGTTAACAATGTGTAAAAAGTAAGAGAGAGAGAGAGAGTAACGCAGTGATGGAGCAAGCCCACGCAAGCCATGCCACTGCAAGCACACGCGGTGTGTGAAGCGAGAGAGGGCTGCGGTGTGCTGCAGACCTCGATCTAGCCCGAAACCCACGCACGTGTATTACTGTAATGTGTCACCAACGATGTCAAGCGCAAAAGAAAATGCCTTTCAATTGACAAAATATACGAAATAATCCAGGCTGTTGACAAAAAGCAAGCTCCACTGGCAGAGATTTGTCGTCAGTTCGACATTCCACAATGGTCGATTCACACTATTATCAAGGATAGAGAGAAGATAGTGGCATCAAACTCCAATGGAAAGTTTGCTCTGGATCGAAAGAAGATGAGACTGCCCGATGCAGATGCTGTGGACCAAGCTCTTCTGGTGTGGTTTTAAGGACGTAAGGAGAAAGTTTGTGCCAAACCCTCTGTTCGTGGGTACTTGTGGCAAGGGAAACTACCCATGAAAGTACGGCTGGATTAGTCCACAAATGCTTACTTTCCTTGCATTTCTGATTTAACAGGGATCGGATATAACAGGACATTTTTTCTACTCCCACCATCCCTGTCATATCAGGTTTCCACTGTATAGAGAAAAGTCACGTTTTGAGAAAACGGCCGATAAAAAAATAATAAATATTGACATAATGAGGAAATGGCGGCGACAAGCATGCCCGGTATGGGCAAAAATACGTTTTTTGTGTTTTTTTGTTTGTTTTGTTTGTTGTTGTTTTTTTTCTTTTGCGATGAAATAAGTGTAGGAGAGGCCGAGGAAGCTAAAATGCCTACAACTCAAATTCCATAATTTTGAGCCGAATCTTGACCCCTCCCTCGCCTTAACCTGCTTGTCCTTAAAAGCGACCATATATATATATATATATATATATATATATATATATATATATATATATATATATCTATATTACAATGGCTTCAAGGTTAAACAACAGTACAACAGCCTCAGTACTCATTTCATCTTCTTTTGTTCCCCTCTCACCTCCCTCGCGATAAGTACATGTAATAGATCAGAACAAACTTTGCAAAATCCTTCCGAGCTAAAATTTCACCTTCCTTTACCATTTCACAAAGGTGCCACAGTAGATTATAAATTCTCATCAGCATGCAGTCGCTGTCGCGCTTAATGCAATTTGGAAGATGGTGCTTACAGCTTCACCTGTAGGCCAGAACGGCACGTGACATCGTTACCTGAAAGCACAGAATTCTACAATATTCTGTGCCTGAAAGTAGTGAAAGCTCAGATCCAGAGCGGGCTAGATTATCTAAACTACGCTACCCAGATCTAATCATTAGTTAGGCACCACACTTTCGAGAAAAAACGACATTCGACACTAAGCACATTCGAATTTTTTGTTGTTTTTTTAAATTTTGGTATAGAGCAGCTCAGCTGAACGCCTTACCATTGAGATCGGTCAAAAGACGAACATTTTTCTCGAACCCTGTTGCCTCTCTATAAAGACATTTTTTCTGCTCCCGACGATGTCGTTATGCACTGTATTTTGATATCACAGGAAGTTCACAAAGCTAAATAAATGCTGATGAAAAGTGGAGTTCGGTTGATGCTACTATAGATGCCTCATCCTTCATAATATAAAGTGACCTGGGTTTTTTCTATGATTGGAAGGCCTGTACAACTTTGACTCGGTCTTATAGGAAACAGACATAAAATTTTTAAGTTCTGCCTCCTAATTTCTTGGTACTCTAGGGTTGAAAGGCATGCAAAGCCCACACCATACCACACTGTCTTGTGTCTCCACAACTGTAGTATTTCCAGTCAGACCAAGACATCTCTAGACACCACAGCTTTGCTCTAATTCAAACTGTGTAAATGAGGCATCAGAGGTCTAATGGTTAGGCTGCTGGGACTAGAAAATAATGGGTGTCCTTCAGAAAAGCACTTTCCATGAATTTTTCTCACTACACCTTGGTGGGAATGGATGCAGTGGGTGTCGCATTCAACGAGGTCATATTCAATGAGAAGTCGGCTCTAACGAGGCAATCCTTAATCCCCGATTTTTTTCCTATATATCCCTTTGTAAATGTACGTCAGCCCCAACGAGGTTGCAACCAGACTGGAGTCGCTTTCAACGAGGTCGCGATAACCAAATAAAAGCAACTAGCGGCCCTGAAAGCGAATGATTTTTCTACTTTCTCTCCGTCTCACGCGAAGCACAAGACCCATCCTCCATTCCTAACGCATTGTATTGCTATCTAGTGCGCCTCCTAAGGGGCTTTCCAAATATACTCTTACACCTGGAAAGGGGATGGGGGTGTTTTTGGCTCCTGTAAGAAAAGTGTTAGAAAGGGGGGTGGAGTCTTGAACCAATGTAATAATACATGTATTACACTTTTGTGAGGTGAAAAAATAAGGGGAAAAAAAGGATGGCCTTGGTCAAGAAAGGCTGCATGGGGTGCAGAGGCCACAAGTAATGTGGAAATATTTTCCAAGTATTGCAACACTGAAGAGGCACAGGGCTTTTTTACACGGGAAGAAATGGAGGTGGATGAAGAAGAGGAGGAAGAGGCAACAGAGCAGGAAGTTGGAACAGGACCCATAATAATATTTGGAAGACAGCCCAGCAGATGCCCCTGTTTTAAAATATTTTTGACACAATGACGAACACTTCCTTTGTTGATGATAACTAATTTCACTTTTTGTTTTAAGTATAATGATCAGTAATAACAGATACAGTGGAGTCCTGATAAAGTCAACTCTTGCTTACAGTCAACACCTCACTGTGGTCACGTTTCTTACCTTCTTACTTCTTTGTTTTAGTAATGGCGTTTCTGATACACGTACAGTCAACCGCTTGAGTGTTAACCTTGCGTAAAGTCAACAATTTGGGGTTAAATCCCAAGATAAATTCATTTGAAGATATTAGGTCCTGAGCTAGCAGTGTACACACCTCCAATTATTTTGTTCACTCATTATCTCTTTGTTAAGGTGACAACTTCAGAATTACACTCTCTGAAATTCAGACATCTTGTTACCAGGTACTTCGTAATTTTGTAGCTGTCATCTTCAATTTTCAATGGCGAGTAGTACAATGGATAAAGTCAACACTTTTTTGCGGTCCTGAATTCCAATGTAATTTGTTTTATTTGTAATTAAAGCGCTTTTGAAACTGACATGAGTCTCAATTTTTTCCTTATTAGTAAGAAAGAGAGTATGCCATATTTTTCTTGAATGATCTACTCTGTTATTTTTTAGTAAATGTAGAACAGCATATTATGTGCACACATATATGATATCTGTGTATGTGTTCCGCGCAATTTACCGATCTTAAGATTGCGATGCGCGTTTTGACAACTATAATGTATATAATTGTATCATTCTTGTGAGCTCTTCAGTTTCATATCTAATTTTAATTTTCATATTTTGCACTTTTGAAAATATACATGAATGTTCCTTGACGTGAGTAAAAGAATAAAGATGGAAGTGAATTATACGCAATTGTACGGTCGTTAAAACATGCGGCCCAGCGCCAATCTGTAAATTGCGCGGAACATAAGCATGTTCTTCATGAATATTATGTAAAGCGAATGGAACAATGATAGTAACACGAATTTGGGGGATATAAATGTCATATTATTAGTATTATAAGTGAACAGTGTAATATAATATTAAATGTAAGAAAAGTGTAGAGGGGGGGAGGGGGGGGGGGGGGGTGGTTCCAAAAGTCCCCAAAAAGGTGTAAGATTATATTTGAACAGCCCCTAATACTAATATTGGCCCCAAAGCCAAGAGGATGGGCGAGGGTTGGCCTACGGCAGGGATGGGAGGGGGTGGGTGGGAACGCGACACGGGCTGTGTGAAACTGGATGAACTCAGGATGGGTAGGTCTAGATCGAGACCTTTATTTTTTTTTTTTATTTCTTTTCTTTCCCTGATCAGAAAATCCAAGCTCCCGCCTTTACTTTGAATAGATCTAGGCCTAGATGTGAGAGGGTATTTTTCCAAAACAGAAGTGTTCAGAAATTTTTTTTAAAAAAATAATAATACAGAAATGACGGTCAGAACACAGCTAAAACACACGCACACAGATGCTGTTTGAGATTTTCGTCATCAGGGGGAACAGCTGGTTTAATTACTGGTACAGTGGGTGCTGCATTCAACGAGGTCACATATCAACGAGAAGTCGGCTCCAACAAGGCAATCCTTAATCCCCGATTTTTTCCTATATATCTCTTTGTAAATGTACGTCGGCTCCAACGAGGTTGCAAACTGACCGAAGTTGCTTTCAACGTTCAACGAGGCCGCGATAACCAAATAAAAGCAATTAGCAGCCCCAAAACCGAAGATTTTTTTCTCCTTTCTCTCCATCTCACGAGAAGCATATAGCACATCACCGATTCCTAACACATTGCATTGCTAGATCTAGTGTGCCTCCTTATAGTAATACGGGCCCAAAGCCAAGAGGATGGCCGAGGGTTAGCCTACAGTAGGAATGGGAGGGAGTGAGTGAGAACGCGATGCGGGCTGTGTGAAACTGGAAGAACTCTGGAGGGGTAGGTCTAGATCGAGTTCTTTTCTTCCCCTGATCAGAAAATCCAAGCTCCCACCTTTTCTTCATGTAGATATACCTAAATATCTAGGCCTAGATGTGAGAGGGTATGTTTCCACACGAGAAGTGTTCTGGAAAAAAAATAAAAATTGTAAAATGCAGAAATGACGGCCAGAACACAGCTCAAACTGATGCTGTTTGAGATTTTCGTCATCAGGGGGAACAACTGTTTTAATTACTGGTATTAGTACATCCTATAATATAATAATGATAACTTTTCTTTCTTTTCTTTAGCCTTAGTCACGTTTAACGAGAGGTCAGATCCAATGAGGACAACAAGCCGGTCCCGGCAACCTCGTTGAATGCACTCCCACTGTACCCAGCTACAGACAGCAAAAGATTTTGAATGCTTTTAATCAGCTGCCTGCACACTTTGTTTCCGGAGAAGCCCAGAATGTTTCCAAGTGGTCTTGGGTCTGCTTGGGAAATAACAGTTGTAAATCACATAGAGCATACCATATGCGATATTTTCATCAGCTTAATCAACGACACAAAGGCAACAGTTTGTAAATCTGAATATCAGCGAGTTTTATTCACCAAACATTTTATTTATCACTACAAAAGATGATTACTAGCTTGCTCCAACAGTCTCTATGCCAATGTGGACAAAGTCTTTTGGACTGGACATATATAACATGTAAAATGGTCGACTCACTTGACCCAAAGTGATGTCCAAATCACCAAAAACAACACTGAAAATCTGGGCAACTATCAACATCCATTATAGACATAAGGATGTTTGTCAAATTCCTTTCACACTTCTCTGTCTAACTGAGAGCATCAATCATGACAGTAGCAATAGTAAGCAAAAGAATTCCTCAGCAGATTGATGAAGGACAAAACGATGATGATATTCACAAAAACAATGCAGCACATTTAACCATCAGATTTCCGTTCTTCCCTGAACCTGTCTCTTGGACTCACAAAAAACAGAGCCACACATGGTCATTTAACAGTACAAAATAGTACAAGACATTTATCACTCTGCAGACATCCTGGGGAAGCCTTCTAAACTTGAACTTGAAGAGACACTTAAAGGCATTAAACTTTTCATAAGTTTCAATACTACCATGTTAAATGTTGTTTAAGACATAATTCACAAGGGGTTTTATAACCTAATCAGAAGAAATATCCCAGATGTTTTATAACATACAAAGGAGATTTACCAACCAAAGCTGCAAAACCCACAAGCAAGTAATACACATATAAATATTAGTGTGAAAAATGTCAGTGAAAAAGAGAAAACAAAATCATCCTTCTTTCATTTACAGCAAACCACAGAATGTTCCGTCATCGCCCAACAGCAAAAACTTTTCACTGCGGTAAGGAAAGCAGTGTCTGTTGGCCCTGTGGGAGGTATGCCACATTTCTCGACCGCGACATTTGGTATGCGATGTCTTCAGCAGCCTCCAGCTTCCTCAGCTCTACCAGACCCTCCCCGGCAGCACCAAACGCCTTGGCCAGGAGCTCAGCGGCTTTGGAGTCACCCTCAGCAGAGATGACAGCGGCCTTCTTTTGTTGCTCAGCCTGAGAAGGAAGAACAATGCGTTGTATTGAGACGAAGCCTACAGCAATATCACAAGATCACGACGACAATTTACAAAGAACAGTAATATATAAGGAAACAGATCAACTGACATGACACACATTATGAACATGAAAGACAAAAGTTATTGCGAGCGCCGTAAAACTACTAAAACAAAACATAAGATCAACTGTCACTATCACTATGGCAGTGTTTGCCCATTGGTGCCTCACTCCTTGCATCAACAACAGGGTGTCCCGCCAAATTTTCTTTCAAAATTTACTACCTGGAAAAAAAATTTACCACCCACCAAATCGAGCCCCATACCAGCTCGAAAAAGGGAGTTCATTTGCACCATCAATAATATATGTGAGGCAGAGAGGTGGAATCGGGCTCTCGTCAATTTATAGGCATGTAGAGTTATTGATATCATCTTAAAGCTTGTTCACTTGTCTTTTTTGGACGAAAAAAATATCCATTTATCTTGAACACAAGTCGAGATATTTGCGAATGAAAGAGGTGGGGGTCACCTGTTTTCAGAGATACAATTGGTGAGAAAATGGCCGCCAAAGATTAAGTTATTTCCTTAGCATAAGAGTCCGTGGTAACTAAAAAGTTACATTTTTTGTGCCTTTTATCAACGTTTTTCAGAAAAAAACACACAGAAATGAGTTCTTTAATGGGCATGAAAGGTGTTGAGCCAAAAAACAAAAATTTGATTAAAATTCACAAACCTGCGGAAAAATGCAGGTTTCTTCACTTTAATTATTTTGACGAGAGCCTGATTCCACCACGCTGCCTCACATATATATTATTATTACATAAAAATATATGGAACGAAAAAAAAACACACAACAAAGTCCAGTCGACTGCATAAGGTCATATGAGCGACAAGGGGCGGATGTCAACAGAGAAGTCCAAATAGGGAATTAAGCTTACTCTGCTTCGACTATCAAGGCATCCCGGAAATAGTAATTCACCAGAGTAACAAACATACAAAAGAAGTAGAGGAAAATGAAGATAGTTAGGAAGAGGAAAGAAAAGGCAGCAGTTTCTCCTATGTTGTTCAGTACAGTATGAGCATGACATTGATAAATCAGCCCATATTTACAATTCTCCTGTGCATAAGAACATGTTAATATCCCCCCTTTGGAAATGACCTAAAGACACTTCTGTTAGTAGCACGGCCCTGGTGGTGGTGGTGGGAGGGGTAAGATTTAGATTTAGACCTAATGTGTGCATACAAGGTGACTGCCAAACCGGTTTCTCAATTTTCCTGGGGATCACCTATTTTCCAGGGGCTTATTACATAACGACAACAACAACAACACACACACGTAAAATATATCCAGTCAACAACATATCAGTGTCGCACTTGGGTCTTGTTTGACTTAAGTATTTCAGTCTTATATTTTCCTCTCATTATTATTTTTTTTTAATGAATCCTGCTTTGAGCCGAATTTCGACTGTCAAGAACCAGTGTATGGGTGTCATGACACACATTATGAACATGAAAGACAAAAGTTATTGCTCAAACTCAAAGTAGAGCAACAACTTGAATGGCTCAAGTAGTCCCATGCAGTGTGGGAGTAGTAAGAACTTTGGGAGGGCAAGATGAGGTGACACTGAAAATCTGTCAGTCTTGAACAGAAGGCTACAATATTGTTATAATTTACTATCCCCCACCCAATGAAACATGAACACTTTATTTCAATAACACAGCTTACAAGGTATGAAGGGTCCAGATTCCACACAGGGCCTGCACCAACACGCACTTTTCAGAGGGCTCAAAATATAATCAAAATTCTGAAATTTGCTTACAAGATTTTGTCCTCTTGTATTTCCTTCAGCAACCCCCCCGAGTTCTTCAAAAAATAAAATCAATAATCCCCTGCCTCATTCCGTAGTCCTATACTACGAAACGCGTATGAACTTTGGCGACCCCAACAAACGCGCATGCTCACACGATGCCGTATCTTGCGATGCGAACGCGGGCAGGTTCACAGACTGGTCACGATGGCGAGCCTGACAATCTAAAAATCAGACGACGCATGTATATTTTCCTTACTCCCCCCCCCCCACAAACGACAGCACAGTGACGAGTCCGAGTATTGATTAAATTTTATTTGCACAATGACAACGTTTATACTGCACAACTTGCATGTCACAAATGCTGCGTTATCAGACCCATCGCCGGCAAATTTCTGGGTGGTAATGAAAGCGAAAGTAGATCTTGATTTTCCAAATCGAGCCTCGGTGTCACATACACTTCCCCCTGTCGCCAGTCGCCATACCCGCCTTTTCGCGAGAAACATACCCTTGAATGGGGAAAAGGGGAACGAACATTATATCACAATCGTGACCAGCAAAACCTGAGTCATGTACCGCGGCTAGGGTTCACCGAAAAGTCTTGCTGGCTTCATCACTCAGTATGCAGGTTAATTTGCCACTGTTTACTAAATGTTTACTACCGTCAGGGCACATTTACTACCATTTACAACCTTTACGACCAGGGCACCAGATTACGACTTTTTTACAACCTTGCTGGACACTCTGAACAAGCATCTGTCTTTCCTGGTCTCTGCTATGATGTATTATTTCATGATCTGTAGACCACTGTCAGATCTTATATTTCAAATGTGTGATCTAGGTCTTACTTTTTTTATTTTTGCCTCAATTTTGCACTAAAAAAAACAAACACCCCAAAGCAAGGAGCAGACTACACCAGAGTGCACACCAATCCCATGAACAAAGACAAGGGAGGAAAACACCACCCAGACACAAACCTAGACAATTCCAAGAAGCAGATACACTTCCCCTTACATTTTCTAAGTAGTGAGTCAATCATTCAAGCTTACACCTTCAAAATTTTACCAGCGCTAACAGCAAAACATCAAACGCTTAAATCCTACGACAACAATAACTTGTTCAAGGTACAGTAGTCTCCGCCTAAACGCACGGTGCTCGGGAGGGCTCTTTAGCGTGTGTTTATATGGAGCGAGTGTTTACATGAACCTATGCAACGGGAGGAAGGGACGCAATAATCTCAATTCCTTGATATTCTAGTGATCTCCCTTGGGGCTGGAGATCACTTTGGCCTATAATGCGACAACACATGACTGTTTCAGTTTTGTGAAAGATTCCCCAACAGCAGTTAAGTATTATACAAAGGCGTTGAAAGGGTGGGGGCACAAAGACAGTCTCAATGTAATGATACGCACCATAAAAGCTCTTTCTTTCTGATTGCCGCCGCCAACGCCGAGCTGGGATTGTCTGCCAATGCCCGAGGTAAAGAATTTTATTTTCAAAGCATGGCGACAGTGACACGGTCGGTCCTTTCTTCGCTTTCCCTCATTTTAGGCGTTCACTTTTTACGATTTCCCCATGAAACCCCTTCATTTTATCCACTATTTTTTCACTCAAACAAAAAGAGTTTCAAACAGGACCACAGAATATCGCTCACTTTAACCGACTGTTCAAATAAAGTGTGTTCATTTTAGGCGGACTCCACTGTAGATCTCTACATTCAGAGAAATATTTCTCTTATGATTCGTTGAACAAGTTCTACGAGCGCAGCTGATCAGTCTTACTTGACTAATCTTTGATCCTACTGAGGCCTATCTAGTGTTCTAAAGCATTCACGCGTGTTGCGCATCATAGGCCTAGGTCTAACTAAATATTACATGCAGACCCAAACACCAGTCAGAAACATTCCCTCAAACTCAAAGATGCATTTCCAGTGACCAATCAAAAACATTTCAGTCCCCCAACCCCCCGAAACATTTCACCGACCAGTCCTAGACCTATGTCTGTCGAAATTTGGGTGTGAAGACGCTGTCCATCACTCTCTTTACTCTTTGTTCTGCGCGAGGGCAGTCTAAGCAAATATCAGGTTTTCTAGGCTTTTCTTATGCAAGCTGTGTAGGCTGCAGCCAAATTTCCCCTTGTCAAGCTTTACCAGTCAGTATGTTTCCCGGATCGGAGCATGCCTTTAGAGGGAGTGACCGTGTGTTTGTACGTCTAAATTGTATAGTAAAAATCCCGTCATATGACGACAGCATGCGTTTGGGCGGAGCATGCTTTTGTATGGCATGCGTTTAGGCATAGTTTGCGAAAATAGTAACATCTTACTGTCATTGCTATTCTCATCAATTATATGTAGACAAGATCCACTTATAAAACTAAATCTGGAAGGATCACATCAGCAACAGCAAATTTTCCTCCATTCCCTTCAGAAAAGATACATCTCATTTTGATTGCAAAATGTTGCTGCCAAGTTGCAATTTTTATTTATGATATAAAAATCTTTCAAAGAGCTCTTTCTGAAAGATAGAGTGCAAGATATGGCATCCTGATATAGTTCCAGAGTTTCCACAAAACCTGAAATAATTTGCATTTCTGCATCCTTATCATCGACTTCAGCACCTAAAGACATCTCAGTTTCTCCACATTTTTTTACCTGAAACACGCAATGTAGCCTTAACCTCTCATTTTTTTCATAAAAACGTGAAACTTATCGGTAAAAAAATAACCAAAGAGCTCAAATTAACAAAATTGTAAATATCTGGCACAGCTTCCATCTGCTCACCTTCTCCACAATATATCTGGCCCTCTCTGCTTCCTGCTGGGCCACCTGTTTAGCCTCTACAGCATCTGTAAATTCTCGGCCGAAGGTCAAGTGAGTCTGAGGAGGAGTAAATACAACAGTGGAAGGCTTAAGACACATGCATTAAGGGAAAACAAAATGTTGCTAAATGATGAAGAATAACAGCAAGGTGCAATCCCTTTTTTTCCCAACATTATTTCGTAGCAGCCAAAAGCGAATTGAGATTATGCAAAGTAAAGATGAGTTGAATTAATTTGCAGGGAGTGTCAAGGATGGGGATTGAAATCATCCACAAAGTGCAAGTCTTTTCTGGGCACTTTGGTCCTTTTCTCCCAATCAGCCCTTCATTGTAGAGAAATTGTTATAAACATAAGGCTTGCCATAGATTATTTTGGTCATCCAGTCAGCATCTATCTTTAAAAAAGTTTGGTCAATATTTGATGGCCACACCTTCTTTGCCTTGTTTTTCTGTTAGTCAAAAGAAAAGCAGATAACTACCTACAAATAATTGACTGGAACCATAAGTCTGACAACAACAAATCTGAAGATAAAAATGAAACCACTGCTTTTGAGAGACTCAGGACACCCCAAAGTTTGAAAATGCCCCTAAAATGTCTTGCTATTTATAAAGACAACAAGAGCGCATGAGACACGAACGACAAACGGCAAATGAAAATAGTGTCAGTGACTCACCAATGAGATGTCGTCGAGCACAATGCCAAACTGCAATGCTCTTTCCGTCAGCTCTTCACTGACCTTGGTGGAGACGATTTCTCTCTGAGTGATCAGGTCACTGGCATCAAACTGAGCCTGTAACATATTTATAAAGAATGCAAGAACTAAGAACACAGGGAGAGGGAGACAAGCAGAGTAAAACCATGGTCTAGCCCTAACAGTTTACAGACACAAGACATCTTGGTTTCAAAGAAATAAAATAAATAACTGATAATTCACCCCATATATAAAATTTATATTTCTTTCAGAAAGGACACAAAACAAATATGTTACCTCACTGAGAAGACCATCAGATTATCCTGGGAAGCCCGCCTTTACAAAACATCAGTAAAAGGAAGTACTAAAGACAGACCACAATGAAAAAAGTAAAGATTCATATTCATATTTAAACGACTTATGGCTAATGTATGATAACCCTAGTTTAAAAACGGTGCGGCACTGCAGCTACCAGAAACAATATGTGAATATATTTGCCAAATTGTAGAAGTACAAAGTAATGTGCTACCCGTATTTTGTAGTACAGAACACAACATGTAATTATAGGATTTGCTAAATAGTTTGTACATGATGCATACTGCTAACAAGCATCATTCCATGGGAGTAAATAAAACTGTTTTTCTTTTTTCCCCTTTAATAATGATACTAATGCTGTGTTTATTTTACAAAAACTCAGCAGAATCTTCATTTACGAAGTAAAGTGAAATTGCAGTTACACAACCAGCAATATGGAAGACAAAATTCTATAAAAACTACAGTGAATGGAAAAACTGCAAGAAAAAAAGGAAGACTTCTATTGATATTTTTGCTTCTTGTGATACTGGTCCAGTGAAAAAAAAACTATTGCATCAGCAAACCACATTATGTTTGGAGTTGGAGAGTCAATTGTTTTATTAAACCATAATTCAGGCTATTACTAATTGAACTGTTCTTTATTTTTTTTAGATGGGTGTAGTTGGTTTATTTCGGGAAAAGTAATTGAGTACCTATTTGACATTGAAGAAGAGAACAACCCCATGAGCATGAGTGGCAGTCAAGGGGCAAGAGCATTGTCACTCATCAGTGCAAATTGGTCAGCGTACAGTGCTAGATAGCGACAGTAGAGTAGGCTGTCGGGTGAAATGTGAATTTGTGATTTCTCTATGGACATCCTGCAGTTGGTGATTACCGCAAGAGGTGGGTGTTTATATTTAAACTACAATGGGAAATGGCTACAAGATTTTCTTTTCAACAAATGTGCTGTCTATTTCCTGTCAAACTTACAACAACAGCTTTCAGCACTTCCTGAGTGATGGATGGCAACACTCTCTCATCGTAATCTATTCCGAGGTTGGTGAAGATTTTGGGCAGAGCTGGTACTTGTGGCCTAAACAATATCCTTAGGGTGATGTTGACGTTCTGCAAGTCTGAAATTAATCAGATTCATTTGGAACAAAGTAATGTCAAACTTTTCAGCAAACATAAACTTTGAAGTTGCTTCAGGATAACAACAACAAAAAAAAGAAAGAAAAATGTTGCATGAGTAGAGCCATAGCCTTTGAAAACATATATTATGCTCACAGAAGTGTCTGAAAGAAACTCTTTATAATGTAGAATAAAAAATCAGACACATATTCAATTTATAAGCACACCATCTGACATCCATGTCTAATCAAACCAAATCATTATCAACAATAAAAACTCTCAATTTAACTGGTTCAAAGTCCATAACAAATCAAATAGCCAAACTTTCTTACCTTTGCTACCAGTGACGACAGGAACATTTCTGGGCTTACTGCGGATGTCATAAATAATTGGTTTCTGCGCCCAAGGAATGAGGAAATGAGTGCCTTCTCCAACAACTTCATCTTGCACTCCCCTGAATCTGTCAAAGATTACTGCTCTCTGACCACCATCAACTGTAAAAACGAAAAGAAAAAATAGATTTGAAGTTTAACTTAAAAGCTTTTAACTAGTATTAAGTACTACGTTTGTGCGTTTGTGTGACAGAAAGCTAAAAGACCCTGCCACTGACAGTCCTAGTTCCTCCTTCTAGTCACAGCGAAAAACAATTTTCTTAAAGTGTCATTGTAGGCTATACTGTGATAAATAATCGACTCCCTTTGACCTGACCAAAACATTCCAAGACCATCTCAATATAATTTTAATAAAGATTATCAAAATTATGAATCAGAGGAGGGAGGGATAGTGGGGGTCTAGTGACTAGTGATACTTGTAGTACAGCACCACACATCACATACACTATATCTGTATGTCTTGCTTTAGAAAGAAAAAGTAAAGGCAAATGGGGAAGAGTAATAGGCCAAGTTGTCCACATTACTTCTTGAAGTAGTACAGTACACTAGTACTGTGTAGTGTAGTTTAGTCAGTGCACTGTATTATCTAACTGTGTAGTATAAAACCCAGTTTCCATCACGGGTACGTATTGCGTAATAACAATCCAAAACATGTCGCAACCGACTTTTGCTGACATCTTGTTTTTATCAGTATAAAAATTATATCATGAAGGCTATGTAAATGTAGTCAATACTCTACGAGTGTTTCTAATCTGAAAATTAATTCAATGAGCGTAGGCCTAATTAAAAGGGCCTTTTTTTGTCAAAAGTGAAGCCTGACGAGCCCTGAACAAAATGGCATATGGCAGGTTTCACAATTTCAGTCCTCAGCATTCCCCAAAATTGACCAAATATGAAGTGTTATAAAACATGACATATGATATACTGTTTGAAAGCTTAACATTTCAGGATACTAGAAATGCATATTTTATGAGCGTCAGCTCATCGCAGTGTGCGTAAGAGACCTTCAAAGTTAACCCCCCCTGATTCTCACTAAATGAAGAAGCTTACTGAAATCTCTCTGTAAATCACATAAAGTACACAAATATAACACAAAAATATTAACAATCCACCGAAGAACACCCAAACAGCTTACATAGGAAGAAAAAAAGCTGGAAACTCAAGATTTATACCCAGATTACTCAATTTGTTACATAACCCTGCAGTTAAAATAAAAAATTAAGTATAGTATTCTATAATTGTCAAACAAAGCACACAACTTTCCTGAGGTCTTTGTAATATGAAAAAGTAATTTAAAATGTACTAGAGTACAGGTTTTTTTTAAAATTCACAGAAAGATAGCCAAATTAGTGGCAAAACAATAATTTTTAATTATCTGGTTATCTCCCCTGAAATTTGGAAAACTATCATTTGAGAGGTTATTTTGCCAAAAATACATCACATAAACACAGAAAACCAATGGGAAATGAATATTGAGTAACAGTGTGTTGTAAAAAAGAGAACACTGTGTACATTAACCCTAGGAAAGGTGCATTATTTTGTCTCAGAAGCAGAGTAATTATCATGAAGGCTATGTAAATGTAGTCAATACTCTACGAGTGTTTCTAATCTGAAAATTAATTCAATGAGCGTAGGCCTAATTAAAAGGGCCTTTTTTTGTCAAAAGTGAAGCCTGACGAGCCCTGAACAAAATGGCATATGGCAGGTTTCACAATTTCAGTCCTCAGCATTCCCCAAAATTGACCAAATATGAAGTGTTATAAAACATGACATATGATATACTGTTTGAAAGCTTAACATTTCAGGATACTAGAAATGCATATTTTATGAGCGTCAGCTCATCGCAGTGTGCGTAAGAGACCTTCAAAGTTAACCCCCCCTGATTCTCACTAAATGAAGAAGCTTACTGAAATCTCTCTGTAAATCACATAAAGTACACAAATATAACACAAAAATATTAACAATCCACCGAAGAACACCCAAACAGCTTACATAGGAAGAAAAAAAGCTGGAAACCCAAGATTTATACCCAGATTACTCAATTTGTTACATAACCCTGCAGTTAAAATAAAAAATTAAGTATAGTATTCTATAATTGTCAAACAAAGCACAAAACTTTCCTGAGCTCTTTGTAATATGAAAAAGTAATTTAAAATGTACTAGAGTACAGGTTTTTTTGAAAATTCACAGAAAGATAGCCAAATTAGTGGCAAAACAATAATTTTTAATTATCTGGTTATCTCCCCTGAAATTTGGAAAACTATCATTTGAGAGGTTATTTTGCCAAAAATACATCACATAAACACAGAAAACCAATGGGAAATGAATATTGAGTAACAGTGTGTTGTAAAAAAGAGAACACTGTGTACATTAACCCTAGGAAAGGTGCATTATTTTGTCTCAGAAGCAGAGTAATTTTGAGATTTTCGTGATATCAGGGGGGTTATCAGAAATACTCGTAAATTCCTTATTTATACAAATAAAACCACAAACCACACATCACTGAACTGGCAATTGAATACAGAAAAGAAACACAAAAGCAATAAAATCCTCAGGAAGGCTTAATTAAAAATAAATGTGTCACGACGCGGTCGGATCAGGCCTTCGAATTTTGGGCATGTGGGGTTATTGGTACCATCTGAAAGCTTAATTATTTTTGTCTTGCTTTTGATGAAAACAATACCTATTAATCTCGAGGAGAAGTCAAGATATTTGCGATTGAAGGGACATTCGAGGTCTGTCTCAGAATAAAGTTTCCCTGTCTTGCTGTCCTCACTTATAAAATTAAATCACCTTGTATTTGGAGTCAACAGAAAGCTTATCCAAATACCTATTCAACGTAGGAACCATCAAGTTCAAGACATTTCTCCTTTTGATGTACCCAGCGGTCAAAGACAGTGGTCAGCGATTGTTTGTCCAAGGTCCCGAGCGCTTTTCTCATAGCCTCTTGAATCTCGTCTTCGTCCTCGAATTGCCAACCTCGAAGCATTTCTTTCACCTTGGGGAAGAGGTGGAAGTTGCATGGGGCCAGGTCGGGCGAATAGGACAGGTGTTCCAATTATTCCCATGAGTAGCCCTCAAGAAGCTCGTTCACAACTCTGGACTTGTGAATAGGTGCGTTGTCTTGATGCAGGATCACACCTTCTTCAAGCAAAGCGGGTCTTTTTTCCGGATCGCAGGTCTCAGTTTGTCTTTGAGGAGGAACCTGTAGTAGTCCCCATTGACAGTTATGCCAGGTGGGGCTAGCCAGCTCAGTATGATGCCACTCATGTCGAAAAGAAAAACCCCAATGTGCATCACCTTTCTCTCCCCGTGTTTTTATGTGCGCTTCATCTTTCATGTCAGACCTCCCACCTTCAACCTCCCTGATCTATTTCCTTACTCTTTGAATTGATGGGGGATTATTCCCTATTACTTTGTATAGATCACCCTAGGTTTCAAATGCAGACATGCCGAGAAGAATTGAAAATTTGATTACAACTCGGATGTCATAGCATGAGAAGGTTGCACAAATATTTTGCTGAGCCCTTTTCCTTGGATTTGCCTTGGACAAAGTCCACAAGAACACCACATTTGACACGTCACAGCTCTATGACCCGTTCACCAATGCACTGCAATTTGGCGTTGAGATTTCTAGGACATGATGTCATGATGCCACAAAATGTAATGGCTGTTGGTTACGTACTTTCGATTTTATGGAGGAGGGAAACTTTATTCTGAGACAGACCTCGTAAAAGGCGTTGAGCCAAAAAACATTTTCATAAAAATTGTCAAACACTAGCACTAGCAGAAAATTGCCCGCTCCTTTGATTTCACTATTTTGACAAGTGCCTGATTTCACCACGATGCCTCACATTATTTGTACGGCAGAGATGTGAGTTTGAAAGTGGGGGTCTTTCAGTTTTGTCACATTGTCAAGTCTTACTGTCAGGTGATTAACCATGTTAAAATCATCGGTGATGTTGTCTGGTATGAATATATATATTCATTGTGTGTGTCATGAGTCGGTTGTCGTAATTTTTGTAATGAGAGACTACTGAATAGTGTCATCTGCCTCTTACAGGGCAGACTTCACTACATAAAGGTAAGTTGTTTTTTCTAAAGTCCTCAACAAGAAGGACCTCATCTGCAAATGAAAGGAGTAGACAAATGATGTACAATGTACACTTCTTTTCTAGCATACATCTAAATTGCAAAGGGGTAAAAAAAAAAGTCTGTGAACATTGTTTCATTGGCCTTATACGTGATCTCATCTGCAAAGGAGTAGAAATTAACATGTAGGTGAACTCTTCATTCTAGATCTAGTATCAAATGCTTTAAAAATTGAAAAATATTTAGAAAAGAAATCTATAATATCTATGGCCTGCAAAAAAAAAAAGTTAATAATTTTATAACCCCAAGTCCAAACTGCACCAAGACTGATTGTATGGCCTACAATAGCCTAGACCCTAACTAAGCAACACAGAAAGAATAGACTGAAATTGCTCTCCAAGCTTAAGTTAAAACTAGTAAAAAGTGCCAAAACATAACCCACAAATGATCTAGATCTAGAAGAATGTAGATAATGTAGCCTAGATCTAGAGATCTAGATCAAGCTCTATTTTTCACCTCAAAAGTCTGTCAAAGTTCCAATATTCCTCCTTTCAAATCATCAAATTGCTTTTTTTTTGTTAAAGTAGCGAAATTACATTAAGATCAACAATAAATAACCCACGTGAAACTGAAACACGCAAACACATTCTTTCCGACGTCATGCGATGTCACGTCCTTCCGAATCCGTCACGAAACTTCAGTGCATTTTTTTACCATCAGTGCTATCGACTGCGAATGTCCATCCGAATCTAGAATGTTCGACTCAAATTGCGCGTTTGCGATGTTCTTTCGATTGGGATGATTTACTATTCCCTTTATTTACTCCATTCTTGTTTTGTTTTTTCATCTAGTCTTATATAAAAGTTGAATGAATAAACACGAAACAGTATCAGAAACTCCGATTCGATAAGAAAATGCAGAATATTCACGCAAAACAAACATTCTTGTCGATCGTCATTAGGTTGATTGCCATCGAATGGACAACATTCTAAACCCGATTGCGGATGAACCGTTCACACAAGAAGTCCAGACCAGCAGCGAATATAAAGTATCCATCCCCACAATTACGAAAACAAGGAAAGAATTGAGTTTTCCGTCACGTTGTATCGATAATAGCTTTCTTTGTTCGCGGTCGATCGTCATTGACTGTCGGACGGACACGGGTCACGTGAGATATATTTTTCAGCCCATAATTTCTTACCTATGACTAAAAAACTAACTTTTTTAGACTTACTTACACGCTCAGAATTTATAAGTGTTAGTTTCACAAGGGGGCAAGTTTTTCACAAATTTCATATTCTATTAGAAAGGTAGGCTTCGATGGCATTTTGAGGCATCCTAATTCAGATGGACAGGTGTGATAAAAATACTGCCCTATTATCGATCCCTAGCCTAGGTCTAAGGACATGTAGGCTTGAGATTTGCTGCTGTAACAACTTTTCAAGGCTATTTTCCAAAGTCTACACAACATTTTTGTGGAAATATGAGTTTTTGGCCTTATCCAGATGAGCTATCTGACTAGATCTAGAAAATGGTGTCCTTCTGAAAAGTGACGATAGACATCCTAAGATCAGTCATAAATAATGAACAACAATCAAAATTTTTTGGCGCTTTTTCGGTAGTTCCCACCCCGCATTTGTTATTCGCCGGTTTTGGTCCCAAGAGTAGGGGGGTTTCAGGG